TCTCTCTCTCTCTCTCTCTCTCTCTCTCTCTCTCTCTCTCTCTCTCTTTTTGACACTAAATATCAACGCGATAAAAAATTCACGGTGTCAAAGATACAAACGAGTTTAAATAACTCGATTCAATCTACGTTTTTGAAAAAAATCAGTGCTACAGAATTCTACCACTGAACGAATTTCAACATATATATGTAACATTTTCTATGAATCTCACAACATAGATGTTAATTCTCGAACGGAGCAGGATAGAGGAAAACGTAATAATTGGGAATTTCTAAACGCGTAACGATTCACACTTTTAACGTAACTGACGCAGAAATTCGATTGCACCTCATCGATCTGATAATCATTCGTGCAGTGTCCAAAGGCTACGGAATATTCTCTTCGGTGCAGATTCGCCATAGCGAAAACAGACGTCAAAATTGCTGTTATATTTTTGAATTTATCCAATTTGAAGCTTGCACAGACAAAAGGACATTCTTATTTAAATATTGTTATTCTAGACATATTAATCTTCAAATAAGATTGTCTCGAACGAAGATAGGTTATTTGCGGAAATATATGTTATATAACTCAACGAAGAGAAAAAAATCTGTGTTGTTATTATTCAAAAATAATCTTCACGAATGGAAAGCGCAAAATATTGGATTAAAAATATGATGTTTTTAAATGTCGGAAGAAGATGTCATTATTATTAAGATAATCATATTGTACTCTCTATATGTATATTATAATATTCAAATAAAATTGTAATATTATTAAAATTCCATTATTCGTTTGATACATGAAACAATGATTGATAATTTGAGTATATTAATTTCAAGAATAGGAGAAGGTGCAAACATATGATTTCAAAACATTGTATTTTCAACGCAATATTTTGCGCTTTTCATACGTTATTTTTGAATAATAACGACACAGGTTTTTGAATAAAATATATTCTCGCGAATAACTTATCCTCGTTTAACTCTATGCAAGCCCATTTGAAGATTAACGTATCAAAAATAACGTCTTTTTGTTCGGTGTAAAGTGATTAAAGATTGAAGAGGTGCGACCCTCCTCGACATTCCGACCGCGGAAAAGTCGTCTCCGCAAATCGACCGAACGTATCTATAGTTAAGGGAACATTCGGTGGCTCCGGGGCATCTCGGAATAGAAGGATATATCGGCGGCTGATTGACTGCTTCCCTAATCGGGCCGGTTTTTTACGATGCATGCGCAGGGTATCGCCTAAGGAAGTAGAGGAGTCGACGAGGAGAAGGGAGTCGATCGAGCGGAATAAGGCGGCTTCTTCACCACCGGCGTCGCCCTCGGATCCGCTCGAGCCATGGAGCACGCGTGGCATTACCGACATGAACACGATATTGGCCTGGCGGGAGAATGCACCGGACAGTCCTTAATATGACTTTATGACATTTCACACCGCGACCTCCGGCGACCGATTACGCCGACGCCACGCGCGACACAAGCACGCACATGGTCACGCACAAAGCGATTTCACGCTTGGCGTGGAGTCGAGATGAATTTCGAAAGTCGCAATTTTGAAAATTTTCAATTTGTTCAAGCAGATTTCGTGCGTATTCTTCTAGTTTAGCATTACGATGAGTAATACTACTGATTCGATCCAATTCTATAATCTATATAGCTCAAAAGTAACTGATAGCAAAGTGAGGTCAGACAGCGATTTATATTTTGACTGTGCATCTCACGTTAAATTTCACGGTAAATCGGTCAAGCTTGTACGAGGAGAGAATTTCGCAGTAAAAAATCACTATAAAATTTTCTATCCTTTCAGTTCATACACGAAGAAAGCTAACTTGTTTGGTGACTACACGTCCCGAATTTTTTTGAGTGCTATTCAGGACATCGATTTGTCATCAATTTCAATAATTGTCAAATAATTTTCGGATCTTTTTATCCCCTTCCCCCGGTTTCACACATTTATGAAGTGTGCCGAATTCAGGGCTGGGAAATCTGGTCACCTTACATATACCGCGAGGAGAAACGATTACCTACGAATAAACGATTAAATGACGTCTTCACGATACGCCCCGGCGATCGCACATCACTATTCTCGACACTCCCGAGACTTATGAACGCGCGAGACTCACTTTCGACGGGTTAAAGACGCGTAAAATGCAGAGCGATGTCGATCGATGTGTTACACGGCGGTTACTCGATGCAGAAAGATCGAGAATCAAGATGGTCGCGCGATTCTTGAATCGTGCTGAAAATATACGCGTAATATGTATGAACGGCGCCGAAAAGAACGCGCTCTATGAGATACTTCTCTCTCCATATCTCTTTTCCTAACAAGTTGACGCAATCGCCCGAATATTCCGCATCTCTCTCTCTCTCTCTCTCTCTCTCTCTCTCTCTTTCTTTCTGATTGTCATCGCATTCCCGTTCAATAAATCCGACGACCGCCTGATTCTATTGCTACTTGAGCGAGTTGATGTTATTAGCAAATGTAAGGAACGTCGGCGCGACACGTCGCGACAAGCATTGGCCGCGTATACCGCGAGGAGAAACGAGAAGATTACTTACAAATTACTTACAAATGACGTCTTGACGATACGCCCCGACGATCGCACATCGCTATTCTCGACACTCCCGAGACACTTATTAACGCGCGAGACATACTTTCGACGGATAAAAGACGCGAGAAACGCGAAGCGATGTGTGATCGCTGTGTGCCCATGGCTGCTGCTTGGCGCGAAAAAATTGAGCATTTCGCGCGATTCATTACCAACGTCTAGATTGAATAATCACGATGACAACCTCGTAGTGCGAAACGAACGCGATTGATCTAGAGTGGCTAGTAACTCGAGCAAGTGGTTAAGGCGTCCGCCGTACAGATCGCGTTGTTGTAGACGCGCGGCCTCGTTCGCATCACTGGCGCGTTCTCACATTCATGCAGTTTTGGCACTTTCTTTATGAAGAAAAAACTATAATATTCTCCCTATGTATGATGTTATTTTAGATTGAAAATGAAACGACCATACTTGTTTGATCCGTTGAACAGAATATGAAGCTATCTTCAACATTACAGAAAGATTTGATCAAAGGAATGCGTCAAACGACATTGTTGCGACGATTAACGGCAAACGCTACCTCTGACGCGAAATCACTCAGATATCTTGAATTGTCACGACATTCCTTCGAAATACCATGTGAGAAAATTGTTCGTTATATTATCCTGTATAGCAAAATGTATTTACAAATTAGAAAATCTCTAATTGTATATGGCAGACGAGATTTTAGATGTGAATTAAAATGAACGGGATTTTCTACGCGATCATTACGTAATTATAGTTGGCTTCCCGGCGATTTTCCATTACGACTTCGCGAAAGGCGCGACGTTCAAAGCGTGAAATTAATCGATAATGTCTTTTTACTTGCCCGAAGGGTTATGTACCTTATAGTTTTTCCGAAACGAACTTTGAAACACAGATTAGTGTTGCATAGATTAGTTTTTGGCGATACCGCATGCCGCTTGCTATAAAAAGCAGCTTGGACTTTTACGATGGGCGTACCGAGTATATAAAATCGCGCTAAAAAGTTTGTAACAGTGTTACAAATCGATTCACGCGCGTGTGCGCGCGCGCGCACACACACACACACACACACACACACACACATACGACGAACATGTATGTTGTCTACCACGGATATTATTCGATTTCACACCCACACACGTCCGCAAATATCCCATCGTAGAATATACACCGCCGAGCAGATACAGACTTTCGTATGATAATTACGGAAGGGAACATGTGCCAGGGACCAAACAATGTTAACTCACCGTATAATTTCTAAAGAGGTCGCGCATGATGAGAAATTCACACACGCGTTCGTACGTACACATTTATTAAAATGAGCCACCGAGGAATTTCTCCAAGATACAAGAGCAGCTATGTAGTGCAGGCGATGTACCTTTGCGCTCTCGAGGATATACCCAAGTTTGAAGAGGATCCCCGGATTTTACTCTTACAAGGTTTGTCAATTACGCAATTAAAACACGCCGTACAAGTTGTAGGTCGCGATGCAGTACTTAATTGCTCGCCTGCGGCGAGATATTATTATTAACCTGCGCCTCCCAGTTTTTGTATAGCTCTCGAGGTACCGGTGATTAAAGCGGCATGCTCGCGAATCGAAAGTTACCCCCGGCGAGAATCCGCAACGATATCTCCGGATTCTTGTTCAGATTCCTGTGTAAATACCTGTGCATACGCAGATACACTATTTGTACACGAGAAACGCGCGCCGAATAAACTATTTTCAAGCGACGCAATCTCTCACTTGTAAAAATCCCACAAATCAATTTTATTTCCTTCCACGTCTCGTACCCCGCGCCTTCCATACCGCGTGCTTTCGGCTTTAATTAAAACGTTTGACATGCCATTACACGAATATGTAAATTGCGCCACTGACGAAACAATCAAGCCTTGCAAAATCGAGTTGTCACGTACCGCGCACTGTTTCGAGTTAAAACGCTAAGCGAATTTACGGCACGTTAAACACATCATGTAATCCATATTCCCGAAATTCGCGCCCTTGTTGAAATCTAACGTGAGCACCACGCTCACGTAGAAAAATACATACTGTGCGTTCGGGTAAATGTTACTTGTGTTTCAAGCATTTCACAAGTTTATATAAATCTATCACAAGAGCTCATCGTAAGCATGAAATATCTTCCAAATTCTATCCTAGCAAGTTCAATCAGGAATATAAAATTGAAAGAAAAATTCGATTTACTTACTGCTACGTAGAGTCGAGGACCAACTCTTTCTTCGACAAAGCTCCATAATATTCTTGTAAAGAGAATCAGTTCCTTTTGGACACATGAGCTTTTCTAAAATTATCCCCGCAGGAATGACGAGTATACTTGAAGATTATATGAAATATTCTTTGCTGAGAAGCTTTGTTATAACCACACAGTAAAATTTTTCTCTGTGTACCCTTTTGTATTTACGTACTCCCTGAAAGATTCTCGGAAAGATGACGGGGGGGCACCTCCGGCGCAAATCGACCAATTAGCGGATAAGCATAAAATAATCATAAAAGAGACAGGAAGGGACGTATCCTACAGACTTGTCCGAAGTTTCGGATCATACGCCAAGTATGGCTGGCTCCTATCGGCTACGATATGTGTTACCTTCGCCGACAATCTCCACCTATTGTCGCGATATAGCGGCGAAAGGAGTTGGAGAGACTGCGAAATGTTCGTTCGTTCGTTCGTTCGTTCGTTCGTTCGTTCTCGGGCGCGAGACGGAACTTGAGAAGTTCTTGCCTCCCACGCGTATTGAAACAGTAATGATATGAGAAGGCGGCCTCGGCTACGATAGCGAAATGAAAACACGTGCACCACGCGGCAGCGGGCGGCAACGAACTTACCGAACAAGCTCGTTTACACGCTATAACATCTCCCACGGGGGAACGATCGAACAAACAAATTTCGAACACGCCGCGGCGGAAATTTACCGTGAATATTACTATCGAGAGCTTTATATATCGCATTTAGAAAGGAGTTCAAAATTGTCCGGCAAACCGTGCTTTATAAGAGAGACATTTATACATTTTATATTGGTTTCTATCTCTGTTCACCACTCTCTGTCTCCCTCATCCTACCATACTTTTCCCAGCTCTCTCGCTTTGGTACAGAATTAAGGATGTATTTCTCATATCTCAAAAGTAATTAAAAACTTTTTTAAAATTACTGATCAATCTAGAGAGAGAGAGAGAGAGAGAGAGAGAGAGAGAGAGAGAGAGAGTAAAAAAAAATTATTGGTACTCTAGGAAAACTTAGGTTTTCATGCAACATTACAGTCAAATTTCACGCAGGCACGTACTATGATTCCAAAAGAACTCTTCACGACTAAAACTATGAACTGATGTCGTAAGGGAAACCAAGTTCTTCTCGAGCGCCAATGACTATATAAGGGGAACGCTGCCAATAAATCTGTACCCTATATTGCATCCAAGAGTGATCACAAACAATTTATCTTAAACAACATTGATTCAGAGGATCAAATGTTACTCCACTTTCAAATGTAAGCCTAACAACGACGTCAAATAACTTTTTAATAACGCATCACTAGCGTTTCTAGCGTCAATAACGCGTCATTAATGTCGTTTGACGTCATCCGACGACAACCACCTGGAAGTATTTTAAACCGTGTTTTTATGGAAATATATAATGTTGCTAGCTTTAGTAAAGGAAAAAATAATTTAAAAAAAATGCAGAAATCTGTCTCAATTTTTGTGCACATGTACTTGAAGTATTCAAACTGACGTATACAAAAATTTATTGTGATTCAGAGGTGGCGAACTTTAAGAGCGAAAAATAATATAAAATAAACTATTAAATACGCGTGTTAAGGAGTAAAAATACATTGTTACTTAAATGGATATCGTACATACATATTAATACGGAAAATAGAAATATTAACGTATTTCTTATTTTCAGTGACTTCTTGTGAATATTCCTATATATTAGGCTCAGTAAGTGTACAATAAAACATTGTTCTTTCACAGAGTAGAAATACTGAATTAGCCAACTACTCGAGTCGAAATTTTAGTTCAACGCGTTGACTTCCACGCTCATTTACATTGTGATCATTTCAAAGTTTATTCAAACTATATTCTAAATAATCCAAAGTATGGTAAATAAATGCCATTCCTGATATATATATTTGTTAGCATGTTTCATCGGCTCTCTATTTCAACTCGGTTGTTTGCGAAAATAAACAATAGTGTAAAATTACTCTTGCTTATCTCGTGGGAAATCAATGCGATTTACGATAAACATGCACTACACTACATATAATGATAACGCTTTGTGAGCGTTGAAATTTCACACTCACCATTTCGCATTGAAGCGAAACCACCGACGAAAGCCGCCTTTGCATCCTGCATCGCTATGCATCCGGAACTCCGTAGGCGTCCAGCCTCCGTCTAGCATCATCCCACGTCGCACTGCACTTCACCTCGCTTCATTTAATTTCACTGCACTCGCGTCGCGATTAGGATTCACGTTTTAACGGCATTCGGTGCATTAACGACGGTATCGATAAACAGATTGGATTTATTGCGCCGCGGAAAAAAAACGTTTGATTGAATTGAACAAATTTCTGAAAAAGATATGAACGAGCCAGAAATTTCGCTTAAAGTTACCAAAATTTTGTATTCAAGTTGACAAAACTTTCGATTAACTCGAATTTTCTGGTTTGTTCGTATGTATTTTACCAGACATTAATGGTTAATCCGACCAAATTTCTCTTTCCGAGTGTAAAACGGGGAATCTTTGTTTAACTAAAAAAAGATAGAAATCCAGCTATATTTGATTTAATAAATGTTTATCGAGAAAAATTTTTGAGATAAACACGCTCCGAAAACGCGCTCGAAAAATTTAAATATTTCGGAAAAATAGCCGCGCGCTTCGCAAATATTGCATAAAAAATCGCAAACCGAACCGACCGCGCGCCATTCGCGCGGAATCAATCAAAGTCGCACGCGAGCGAATTAATCGAGAGTAGTGCAATGTTCTCACGCATTTACTGGGATGGTCTCGTATAATACCACAGTGATACTTTTGCGAAGACTGCTCCGCAATTTTGCTACGGAGATTACTCCACAATTTTGTCGCGAAGACTACTCCGCAATTATGCTGCGAATACTATTCCAGCACGGTATCTTTGCGAAATTTGTTTTCGTAATAATTCCGCGAATTCACCTGAACGATTTTCCCCAATGTATGTAATTGTAAAACGTAATGAAATCGCAAAAGAATCTAACACGATCAACGCAGACTTGTGCATAAAAAATCGAGAGCGCGATGGAAAAGGAGAACAGTGTAATCGCGACCAAATTTATTAAGCGATATAGAATATTAAACACGCGCATGACTGGTACATGAAATTTCCGTCTCTTCGACGAACGTAACCTGACACGAATAAAATAGAAATACACGCGCAAAAAATATAAAATATTAATAATCGCGGCGACGGGGCAAAATTTGTCGACGCGATCAGAGTTGTTGGAAGTACTGACACAAATATATTGCGCACTGTACACTACTCAAAAAACAATTAAATCACAAATATCGCTTAAATCCGTAAAAATCCGTTAAATAATTCTATGGATTGAATCAAGCGCAAGATAAGTAAGAGAAGCAGAAAGAGAGTCGACTTAATTCTTTTGTGAGCAATATATTTTGTTCAACAACAACATAACACGTACACAACATGCGAAAGATTGGGAAATGACACGTTTTTCGTCTATCAAATATAACCGTTATTTTGTATATTCGTGTGTATTTTTAGATGCGCAAACAGAATAACAGCTACCAGATATTCTCGTACAAGACAATAATTCGTCAAAGAAAGATTGAAAGTGCACGGAGACGACTTGTCACTTGAGATACACGATAACGGTAATGAGGTTACCGTGCAAGAATGATTTTCCCAACCTTGTGCAAAAAAAAGCTAACATGCAATGATCAATGAGCAGTGTAAATCGCATTGATTCAAAGGGGATTATAAGCTTACCACCTTCAATATATTATTATTATTACTGTTATTATTATTATTATTATTATTATTGCTATTTACTTTTCTCACTCACTGAAGAGCTTCGAAGTCGTTCCGCCACGAGATCTGAAAGAGGAACGAGACGGTTAGTGCTTTTAGTTAACTGCTGAGGCGGAGAGAGATTGTTCGATGGATCAAGAATACAGACATACAAAAGTATCAAAATTACGAGATATAACTGTCTCGGCTGATTAAGACCCGGCTCCTTAAACGTCGATTGAAATTCAGATCGTCGCATCAATGAGACTTGATCGACGCTGATGAAACCAAACATGAGTACAGTCTCCTGAGAATTACTCAAATGAACGAATTTTCTTCCATTGGATACGTTACAAAAGTCATCGAGAAAAGCCAACTGTGTGTATGTTTCTCTTTTAAATTTCATATGTGAAGGTGAAATCTTGTAGTATTGATATATGTGTGAAAGTATAACATTTTAGATTGTAGGATGTTGCTGTAGGATGTCACACACAACGATCCCAGCACGATGAAAGCGCGCATAAAGCATCGGTATTCGATCAGCTTGGAAATTTCGAGAAACGACGCGACACCGACTGCTCGCCTCCGTGTCAAGGGCGGTTATGATCGAGACGCACGTATGTACTATTTGTTCCCAGCGCGCGCGTCATGGTGAGGTATATCAAAACAAGCTCGAGAGCACGTGTATTGATTGTTGAACTATATTATAATACTGAAGTGTTCTTTTATATGATATTCAATTTTTCAATATGCAATGTGCGGTAGCACTTGTCGCATCATTATACATTTCTTGATTATTAAGATCTAATAATAATACACACGGATTTACGACGCATTCACGTGGAATACATTATTCTGGAGTTTGATCGGAATGTAAAATTGTAACAGAGAGAAAGCATTTGCAATTTTGCAAGAAACGCAACTTTATTTCTCTTTCTTCAAACGAATATTGTAGATTGATTTCTTCTCAAGTAATTGTGGTAATTGGTTACTTATTAACAAAACAAGTAATTCGCAAATAGCAGTTGCAAAATTCATTATATTACCAATCGACTTGTCGATATCAGCTGATTACGTGTACGTAAGAAAGCGACGGATAAAATCAGCTGGGCTGTAAAAATCAATATTAGCTGATCTGCGGAAAATGAATAATAGATAAGAAATCGATACACATGCTTGTACAAATTTAAGAGTGCAAAATCCACGTGATATCACTGACCTCGACCATTAAAAGTCAAAAACTGTTACGACGTCGATATATTTTTGCGTCAAGATTTTCATTCCCAATTATGCCCCAGAATATATTACTAAAGTATCGTACGATAGTTTTAGGATTAAAAAACGTAATGAGAAAGCCTGTGAGAAAGGCGAGGTCACAAGATGCGTAAAAAATTTTTAAATTGTCAGTTTGAATACAACAAAAGTTAGATTTTTTCTGACTTTTAATACAATTGGTTGTAATTATGCAAGAATGATTCAGCTCACATATAGAGTAAAAGTTTCGAGAAAAATAAAGATAAAAATTTGATAGGTATAAGTAGCACACTCTGAGGTTCAATTGTCCAAAAAGTCAAGCATTCATTGACTGACTACATTGTCTGACTCTTAAAAAATAGGTAAAAAAGACGCAGTTATAATAATTAATTTCAGGTTTAGCCCATTCAACTTTTTTGCTTTACGTAGGAAGACATAGGCTGTCGGTTGTATCATTCTTGTAACTATGGCCTAACTATGGCCTAACTATGGCCAATTGTATCCGCAGGGATTACGTCTCGAATTGTCTCGCATAGTCACTTGCGTCGCTCTGATCCGCGCGAAAATTAAGGTGAGATAAAATATATCCCCGGCGATATTCCGCAACGCGGCAAGAAGGAGAGGAAGATAAATTTGGATATAAAGCAATGTGCCGCGCAAGCAAATAAAAAGTACAGGCAGCCGAGTGCCGGGCATTCCTCCCCGCCAGACAATTTATCAGGTCGCTCCGGCGGCGATTTCGTTTTCTTTATACACGCGAATTCTCCGGCAATAATAAATACGAAATTGAAATACTTTTGCACGCGCGATGCGCGTTTGCGTACACACGTCCGGTTCCCCGTTCGCGCATCGATCAAGCGCAATCCTACCGAGTCTTGGTTTTCTCGCATATCGGCGATATGAATTTCCGTGCCGTTGCGCGATAAATTTCCCTGCCGTACCGGCATCTCGAACTGTCCAAGTCGCTAAATTGATTCGCGGTCTGAAGTTGGCTAGCTCGCGCGGAGGGAAAAGAGAATAGAAAAAGAAAAAATCCGCCGTTAAGAACGTAAGGCGCAGCTGAAGCGCGATCTCGCGGCTGACGGCGTACGGTCTGTAACCACTAATCCCTCGCGTAGCCCGATGGTAGAATTTACCGGGCTGACAATTCGCTGACATTTTGCCTGTTATCGTTCGTAACGTGGTGTTACGGCGAAGCCGAAAGGAAGACAGAAATGATTGTTGTGTTTGGCCCGATTACACCATGTGTTTGTTTCCTATTTGCGAGGATACCGATTGAGCAATACGTTTGGCAAGTAAATTTTCCCAATTAGGTCAAATAGCAATTCTATAATTGGCAACTCTGTTTATTTGTAACAATGTATGCCGATACAGCAGATATACATATATACGAGATCTTCCATTGTTTCTCTATCGTCTACGTCGATCAGAACACAACAGATACGCAGTGTTTGCTCTAGTCACTCGTATCCATCTTAGCTAATTTCTACATCATTTTTGCTATGACTGAAAAGCCATTTCTTTTATAATGTTTTTGTAATTTTTTATCATCATGGAATATTTCAGGAGTCATAATTGCGAATTTAAACGTCATTGTCCGCTCATGATGAGCGATAAATGCACATACATAACCAGCGTACATACGATCGATCGAGCGTGACCTTAAATAAGCTGACGCCTAATGACTGATCTAATCGATAGTCAAGATTAATCGATTGTAGAAAATCACAAATAATTTCAGCGATTAATGAAATTAATTATCAATTAAACTTTGATGTAATTGGTTACATAATGATTAATTTCATCAACAGATGAAGTTATTTACGATTTTGCACATGACCATTGTTTAATTTGTCGAAATTATTTTAGTCGAAAACAACGTTCACCGATCAATGCCCAGCACTGCTCGCAATAAGCTAATCCCCGTGGTACCGGGGATTGCGTCGATGCGAAGAACGACGATCTCGACGAGGGAGATATCGAGACGGTGGTCGACGCTCATAATTTTGATCGCGTCGTCATAGCGAACGGCGAGAAGAGCCGTGGTAATCCCGGGCCACAGCCCGCCGTTAGGACCATGATGGAATTGGTAGAAAAATCGACGGAACACGCGCGACGCGCGATATTTAATCATTTATCCCGGGAGACGTCTGAAGCGTCATTTGTTTCGACAGATCTGGGACGACGAACTCGCCGTTATAGCGCGTCGATGGGCGTTGCAGTGCAAGCTCTTCCTGAAGGATCAGTGCCGAGACGTTGGCGCAAGTAACTCCAACGGATATATCCCATTTTTCATCCCCCTCGTACCGCCGCTCTTCTTCTCTCGTCGCCGTTATTTTTCAATATCCAATAACCCGTGCAGACGCAAAATTGTTCCACCGATACGGCCGCCGAAACACGCGCGCGCGCGCGCGCGCCTGTGTTGGCATTACGTGTTCGATATCGACTCTCAATCTTAATTACGAGAGCTTTCGGATTTCGATTAAAGTCCACTTCGAGTCTATATTTTGCAGCGTGTAAAAATAATCTTCGCCTTCGTCTATACGACGACGAGGAAGGAACAATCGGTGGCGTGTTTTCCGTTGCCCTTCGAGAGAACATTGAGGAACATTGAGAGAGTACAGGACTCTTCGAAATTACAGCGCTTTCAATATCTATCGCGCAAAGTTGCATGAAAGTAACAGAAGGTCTATTGTTAACGCGGCGCTCCAGAAGCAACCACCTTACGTTCGTAAAATGGTACGCTACGCCGAGGTCGGAGAGCACACGTATCGATATCTCATTGAAACGCTCGTTGTAGAACGATTTGGAGTATGGCAGAACGTAAACGTGCTCGACATGGACAGCGTGGAAAGTGGCACAGAAAGAATTCACTTTCATATTGCATCGTAGTACGACGAGGTGGAGGACTTGGACAACGCGGAAGTCGGATAAAACTCGAGTGTGCATAGCGTACGTAGGAAGCGTATCAGGTGTTTCATGCTTGGCAAGTACACCTTTCATCTCCGATCGATCTGGAGGTCAAACGAACGGCAACCTCAAGAAGCTGATGTCTCACGAGTTATCAACGTTTCAAAATGAAGAGCTTGCAAGGAATTGAACTTGAAAGGAGGGAAAGGAGAGTAAACGTCCATACCACCACATACTGAAGAAGAAACACTTGAAAATTCATTTGCGGGATGTAAAGTTTATTTACAGAAATAAACATCCAACAAATAAATGTTCAGGTATTATTTTCTCAGCGTACATATCAGATGGACTTTATTTGAGCGGATTTGTAATAGACGAGGATTAATCATTGGAACAAAAATATTTGACGATAGTGCGAAATAGTGCGAATTGAGAGTTCGCTAGCATGTGACTTAATTTCCGTCAAATTTTTATGGAGAAAAAAACGGTTGAAATGAAAAACCTGTCAGTAGAGAACAGTATGAAGCGTCCTGTATGCACAAATCGCACGCCAAGAATCGGCGTGAGCACACGCACGCTCCTTTCGTCCATGTGTATATAGGTCGATAGTAACACGTACACGAATCGCGATGCTAGAGAGAGAGAGAGAGAGAGAGAGAGAGAGAGAGAGAGAGGGAGAGAGTAGGTACAATAACTCGAGCCGAGTTGATCGGAACGACTCCTTTGTGTCGAGAGACTCACCCCTTTGTGAATGGCCAGTGTTCGATCCGGCGTGTAGACACAGCTAACTCAGTCCCCGAATTTTGGGGGAAACTTTGCGGCCACCGCTCTGTCCTTCGTTTCCCTCCACCCCTCTCCTCCCGTTTTCTCGTGCGGTCCTCTGTTTCATCCCACATATCTATCCTCGTTTCTGCTTTTGCCCGCGATCGCTATACCCTCGTGGGAACCAGTGCTGCTTTCGGGTGCATCGGCACCCCGAGTGAGAGAGAAAGAGAGAGAGAGAGGAGGAGGACTTTTACGCATTTTTTTCATCGCCTTATCATGTACAAGTCGAATGAAACTTGGGGAACGAGAAAACGCACGAGATGAACTAGAAAAATTTGAACTATCCGAATGTATGCTTTTTTGTTTATCTTTTTTCTAAGAAACACAAAGATTTCTGCCAGATTTTGCTTGCAGTGTCTTCGTTACAAATGAAATATATCGAGAAAGATGTGTGAAATTTTCGTGATATAAACATTACGAGCACAAAGACGCGTAAAATTAAAGTGTCTAATTCTAAGAAGAAAGTATTTAAACATTTAAAATTATTTTTTCATCTTTTTTCGTTACAAGTATTTATCGTGAGGAAGAAGTTAATAAATTAGAAACTGAGTTGAAAGAACAATCTCCTCCATAAGAAATGTTTAAATTAGTCCGATGGGAAGCGCCGACTTGTTCGGCGCCCTCGAATAGCGAGTCGTCTCGATCGCTCTCTAAAGCCGGTACTGGAGGGGTCGCGGGTGTTGGAGGATGAGGAAAGAGAGGGATGTGAAGCGACGACTTGACCGTCAGAGAAAATGACCGAAGACCGATTGTATGGAACAGAGGGTGGAAATAGGGGAATGGCGAGCGGTGTTCTTCTTCTGTCGCCGGGAACAATCAAAATCGCGTATTCTCTCGGTAAATTGGAAATCGAGAGTGCTATTGTACCGGCCCAAATTACTCGTCGATAGCCCTGTATACACGGTTCCCCCGGCAGCTATGAACGCGAGCCGTTGTCGTACTTTTTTTCTTTTTATATCCCAGACCGATAGAAAAAAAATTTTCAATTTCCTATAGAGAATACACACATGAAAATGTGATACAATCAGCCACGACTTTTGCAACCCCCCGTAAAGTACGCTCAAGAGAGGTGTACGAGTGTATAAGTATACTTTGTTTCTTTTGTTCCTTTACTTTACGTAACCAATTGCAGCGTTACACATGCCGCGACGTTTCGGATGTCGCGCACACTTTTTGAGTCTTTTCATCGGTTCGCCGTAAGGCTCGACCTCGAACTTTCGCCGTAATTCTCGAGGCGAGGCCGCGATACGCACGTTAATCTCTCATGAGTTTCGCAAGAGTACCTCGAATTATGAAGCGCTCGCCCGTCCTAATTCAAATTCAAGTTGCGCGCCAATGAGGAACCTGAGGCTGTCGACGTCCACCTTCATTTCAGTCCAGATAATCGTACCTTTCAGCCTGGTGAACTACTCCGCGCGTCGCGGCAACTCTCCCCTTACATTCCCCCCTCACATCGGCGGCGTTCATTTACGTTGGTTGCGGCCGCGCGATTTACACGCTCGACTTGAACAAGACCGCGGCGAGTTACCGTCGCGCGACTCAGTCACGCCCGGCGGGTTTAGGAATCGGGTCGAGGTGCTCGTGTGTAATTACGGACCCGTCGATCGCACCGCATCCCGGCAGCTGTACGAACTCAGCCAGCCGGGCCTGTACCCGCCTAACTACTAACTTCTTCCTCACGATAAATACTTGTAACGAAAAAAGATGAAAAAATAATTTTAAATGTTTAAATACTTTCTTCTTAGAATTAGACACTTTAATTTTACGCGTCTTTGTGCTCGTAATGTTTATATCACGAAAATTTCACACATCTTTCTCGATATATTTCATTTGTAACGAAGACACTGCAAGCAAAATCTGGCAGAAATCTTTGTGTTTCTTAGAAAAAAGATAAACAAAAAAGCATACATTCGGATAGTTCAAATTTTTCTAGTTCATCTCGTGCGTTTTCTCGTTCCCCAAGTTTCATTCGACTTGTACATGATAAGGCGATGAAAAAAATGCGTAAAAGTCCTCCTCAGCGATCGACCTCTTTGCAATAAGTAAAGGCCCCATCTTGCAATTCCTATCGATGTGAGCTTCGACAAAGATAACATTCGATGCTTCTTATACTCGTTAATAAAAAGAAGAAGAGATTAATTCAGAAGAGATTAGTGAATTTTCCACTTCTAATTAATAAGATATCCTTCTCTCTTAAAGTGAATCAGTCACTGATATCAGTTATGATATCAGTATTGCACTAAGCACTTTCAGTGCTATAATTATAACTGCAAATCAGTATATACTCATTGTTTTCAGTTTTCAGATGTTTGACTGATTCATTTTAAGAAAATTTTAGACAATATTACCCTCTCATAATTTAACCTTTAGCGATAAATGAGAGTACTGTCACTTTTCATTTGTTTTGAGATTCCACTCGAAGAATTTTAGAGAGTATATAAACTAGATTCTCTTTAATAATTAAAATCGCGATAAAAATATCTTTATTGCTGTTTACGTATAAATTGTTCGATGGTTTGCTTACTTCGTATCAAATAACGATGATGTGAATATATGAAAGTGGCTGCACACAAATGTTCATGCTAATTCAAACGTATGTTGTGTATGTATTAATATATTGGTTGGAAATATCTTGCCAAGTTTACGATAATGTTAACAAACTTACGCATCGATACTCTGCAACGAGCAGTCGCAGATGCGCGATTTACGAGGGAAATTGCAAGTAACGGCGTCAGGAGCAGTCTGACGCCACGTTGTCCGTCCATGCACGTTCGTTACTACTTACTTGGCGAGCAGATAACGTTACCTTATACGACGTTAACTTATACGTCGACACTGCAACAAGCAGTACATACGATTTGCGAGAGAATCGCAAGTGACGCGGCGTCATGACCATAATCGTCGTCGCCACGTTGTCTGCTTATGCACGTTCGTTACTACTTACTTAGTGAGCGAACACTTGAGCGAGCCAGCTCCTGTCCGTCAATTCGCCGCTCCATCGATCGTTACGGGACACGCAACTACTCGGGTAATCCTTAAGCACGAAAGCTCGTTTATCTTTATCGGTGTTCCCCGAGTCTCGGACGCCGGCGGTATTTTTCTGTAAGAAGATTACCTTTGTCAGCAAAAGTGGAAAGTCTTCCTTTCGCAGTTAATATCTGTTATTTCCCAATTTATATATTCTTATCATTATATATATTTATATATATATATATATATATTTATCTGTCTCCTTTACGCGCTCTGCTATGTCATTGAATAAGCAGACAGAATAAGCAGACGTAACATTTAAAAAACAAATTTACGAAAGGGTAGACAAAATCCTACAATAGCATAATAAATCTATTCATAGAATAGCGCAAGTGAAATCTCGTAATTTTTTCTCTTTTAATGCAAAACTTGAACATTTATTGGTGATATATGAAAATATTCGTTTCTACGAATATCTTTATATCTCACAAATAAATTTTCAAATATTTTTTCCTCAGTGTATTATTCATTACTCATACATATATGCATTGCTTATACATTACTCTCTCCCCCCC